GTGGGCATACTGGTTATACTGTGCTAGAACTTGGTCCAAGTTCTAGTTTCGAGAAACGTGTGGCCAATCAACTTGCAGCTATTCCATAAAAGCTGCACGTTGATCGGCCACACGTTTCCCGGAACTAGAACTTGGACCAAGTTCTAGCATCGTGGACACAGGGCCCCGATTCTTGAATTCATTCGAAGAAGAAACGTATACGAAAATTCTGCTCTGACAGAAAAGTTGAAAGTCGATTGGCTATTCGCATGGCTTTAACCAATCGGCTTTCAACTTTTCTGTAAGGGCAGAATTTTCGCATACGTTTCTCCTTCGAATAAATTCAAGAATCGAGCCCCAGGCCGTTATGAGAAATGACCAGTGGCTGTCGAGAACGTGAGCAGTCATTTTGAAACTTAAGCAATGCTGAAAATTCCGATTGGTTGAAAGAAATAAGTCTGTTCGTGCTGCTTGGCACTTGTTGCGCGGCCTCCTTGGCTGAAAAGCAGGAAGCAGAGACTCAACCATGAATCTCTTTATCAAGCGTGAAATCGTGAAAAGTGAAAAATTTCATTGACAAATATTGAATTCGTTCGCGCTGGAGAAGAATTCACGATCGAGCGCCAGGAAAGCGTCGACCACCAGCGCGAGCTCCGATTGGTTTCTGCCATTTGCGAATCCGGCCTAAGTCCCAGTCTACAATAGAGATTTAAGCCCTAAGCCTTAGTCCCAGTCTACAATAGAGATTTAAGCCCTAAGCCTTAAGAAATTGACTAATCACAGTCGCGCATTCTTCTCATACTTGACCGTGATTGGCCAATTTCTTAAAGCTTAGGGCTTAAATCATCTATTGTAGACTGGGACTAATGTGGCCTTCAGTTTCTCTTATCGCCAAGAGCGGCAAACTTCATGGTGTTTATCTAATGACACGCGTTTCAAAGGTTATATCCTATGATTGACTCAAACGATATTACTGCTCGATTGAGATGAATAATTGTAATAATACAGCTTCTTAAATGGGTGGCCTCTGACCGATCGGAAAATAATTGAACCCATGGATAACAATTGAACGTATTGAACCGCCAATTAATTGAACAATTTGTCGACTCCTTAATTGTCGGTTATTCGAAACTCGTGTAATCATGAAACGCGATGAGACTTTAGCTGGGTGGAGTGTTATATGGTGGTTATTTAAGTTATTCGGCCTCCCAATCACTCTTCCATGGCTCGTGTATCATTTCTACGATATTATGCAACAAAAACGGAGAAGATCAGCTCTTGGTAGTAAGGTAACGTCCTATGTACTCTTCTTTTTTACAATTTTTGCTGTAAATATGAGCCAAGTGTCTTTTTCAACATCCCTTTGAAGATCTGAATATTTGCATTAATATATTTTTGTGATTTCAGGTGGTGATGATAACCGGCGCTAGTTCCGGCTTAGGGGAAGCCTTGGCTCACACGTTCTACAGCTCGGGCTGCAAAATTATCCTGGTATCCCGCAGAAAAGAGGAGCTGGAGAGAGTAAAAAATGACTTGATGGACACTCACCAAGTACGTAACGCGACAGCTTCTTTAATACATAAACGTATATTGGATATCAATGATTTAACGCTTTCCTTTCAGACAGTTCCCACTTATCCACCTGTCGTCTTGTCGTTAGATCTGACCGATATCAGTAACTTGGAGGATAAAGTGTCAAAGGCTATAATGGTGCACGGCAAAATCGATATCCTAATTAATAACGCCGGCATCTCGTACAGGGGAGAAGTTGTCGACACGAACGTCGACGTGGACATAAAAGTCATGCTGTCGAATTATTTCTCGCAGGTCGCGCTGAGCAAAAGTGAGTGTATCGACCGTGAGATCCACTGCGACCGACTCATCGCTCGTTATTGATTTGCAGTTGTCCTCCCGTACATGATGAAGCAGCAATCTGGTCACATAGTCGGCATAAGTAGCGTGCAAGGGAGAATCGCTATTCCATTTAGGCAAGTGCTCGATTGCGAGTCAACGTCTGTTCCTTCTTGGGCTACGAATTGCTGCTGAGCTTATTGATTTTTTAGATCTGCGTACGCCGCGTCTAAACATGCATTACAGGCTTGGTACGATACGGCCAGAGCAGAACTGTCTGACAAAAATGTAAAATTTACAGTCGTCAGCCCAGGATACATTAAAACGTCTCTTTCTCTCAACGCTTTGACAGGAAGTGGCCAAGTTTATGGAAGTAAATACTTGCAATCTTTTGTCGAAGGTGCTAAGTTATCTTAGTCCTCTGTTTGTGTGATTTTAACACGCATACGTTTTGTTACAGTGATGGACAAAACAACCGAGAGCGGCTTTTCGCCGAAGTACGTAGCTGAGTGCATCTTGAAATCTGTACTGAAGCAAGAAAAGGAAGTTACTATCGCGCCCTTTTCCCCAAAATGTGCCATAATACTTAGAACCCTGTGCCCTTCGCTTTACTTCTGGATTATGCAAAGGCGCGCGAGAAAATTAGCGCGGGATAAATAATATCGTTTCGGTTAAATATCACACAGTTTAATTACAAATCGATTGTTTCGTGTTTGTTGCAGGGGTTTTATGTGTATATACTTTTTACACAAGGTAAAAAATATCTTTCGATATAACTGTATAATTTAACACAGAGCTAGAGTCTATATAATTGTGTAAATAAACCAACTTGTTAGATTTTCTGGCATTTGTATCTATACAGCAAGGTATAACAGTTACATAAAATGCGCTATTCAAAAGTATATTTTATTTGTATCGTAGCCACTCTCTGACTAGTGGAGTATCTTTACATTATGTACACTTTATTACTATAACATTTTACTTGAAACTGCCGCTGAAATGTTTAGCTGTCGAGTGTGCTATCCATCTCTTGCCACAAGGCTCATAAAATGAAGGGAATTTCCAATCTTTTACATTTTTTTATGTCGTAAAGATCTCAACTGTACAGTCATCTAATAATTTGTCCGTTGTATATATCGTTCGTGAAATATTGAAACGAGTGAAAAAATATAGTATACACGTAATGAAATGTATTTGCAATAAAAATATATAATTTCTTCACACAAGAGCGATAGATGGCACATCTATTTAGAGTACTATTCAATGTGTTATTAAAATTATCGTTTCTTTTATTAACATCTCATTTAATTTTCTCTATTTATTTAAGTGGTACAAACTTACTTAAAATATAACAGTTTCAATAAGACCTGAAAAAATATTTCTACCACAATAAAATCTGAATTGTCATGACAGACTTGGCCATTCCAATATTATATTCCCGTATATTGATCACATTTTCGTATGCCTTGCTTAAGTTTGTATTATTTCTATTCTTCACTTTTAATCTAACGAAGTAGATTACGTAAAGAAACGTGATAAAAAAAATTCATATAATATAAAATATAACTAAATGTGATGATGAACGTAACATCGAGCGATTACACGTTCATATTAATCACTACATAATATGTATATATGTAATCACTATACAATCGGTATATGCAGTCACATTGTACATAAATATAGAATGCAACTACAACACTTTGAGGCATACTGAAGAAAACTTTAACGTACTTGAAATAAAACTCGACTGCATTTTCCGCTCTAGCAGTGGTCAGCTTATTCTGTGCAGTGGACTTTCTTTTACTAGCATTGTAATTCGTTAATCTAATATACAATTGGAGAAACAAGTCTTTAATAGAAATATGCTCGGCAAGTTCCTGCGCTCCATGTATAAAATAGAACTTTTTTTTTCTTTTTCCTTTCGAACGAAATCCAAACGTATGGATTTCCGGATGTTAATCCCGTAAATTTTGTGCTATACTCATTATACAACGATATAACGATATTTTAAAATATAGTAAAGTATATCTGTTATCGTCCTAAGCTTGATTTGTAATTTCTACAGCGATGGTCAGAGTTATGTACACTGTTCGCCTTTTGAGCCCCTGTATCGATGCACGTACAAACGAGAGAACGTTCCACTCACATGACCATAAATGTTGTACCACGCGAGGAGATTTCGTGTAAGGATTTCAGTTTCTTTTTTTTTTCTTTTTGTTAAACATTTACAGGAATGTCTGCGACGCCAACCTTTATTCGACGGGACTGATGCAAATAAGTTTCGTACAACGCCATTGTAATGAAAAAAGTATCTTATTCTATATATTTACGATTAATAAAATAAAATCTAAAGTTACAGTTGAGTTTTCCACGCGGTCAACGTATCCCTTCTGGTCGTATCAGTTCAACATAGATTGTTCTGCTGGGCGAGAAAATCTAGGCGATATACCCTTTGACATACCATACGTATTGTATTCTCTCTCTCTCTCTCTACCTATTTTATTTACAGTCTAAAAATACATAATGCTAAGTCCATATGTACCACTGTCAATTTAATCATTCTAAGAACACTTATGTCAGTATTTCTTTTTCTTCATTACAGAGACTGCACACACATACACGGTCTTTCCAGCTTTGCGGTGGTTACTTTGGAAACATTTTGTCAAGACTACGAGGAGTAACGTTATCTCAAGTGCGACCTTACATGCGCCGATGTAGAAGCCCGGAATAAAATCTGGCCCTCCGTCCGTATTTACGTGGTTCCGTCGTTACATAAGCAGCATTCACTTGCGAGGTAGTATCAAAAAGTGTTACGAGTCAATTGTCAAAATGAGAGAATACTTTGTGTCACGATATAACGCGGCATGAGAATAAACGAGCTCGCGCGTCCCTCTCGGCCGAGGAACCCCCGTAGGCCTACTGCTATGAAGCTCGGCGTCGTGTGGCCTACCTTGTTCTTTCGTATTTTGGCTTAAGTCAAAACCGGTGCCTGTAATAACTGCGTTTTCTTGTCTCTTTTCGTTCTTTCACTTGAACGCCTGGTAGACTCGCCAGGCGGTGATGCCGAGGGCCGCCAGTGTAATAGTCGTGTGAAGAATTCGTCTCCTCTTGTCATCTTTCCTTACGAGAAACGTCGGTGACGACGGACCTAGAACAGCCAATAGCTCAACGTGCGGTAGCTTGCTGGTGTCGGTCTCTACTTGGTACTGGCAGCAGGGATCGAACTGCCAAGAGACTGTGTACAATCCGCAGGTTACGACCGATATAAAACCTAGTGGGCCACAGATGTACGGCCGGTCGCCCCAGACCAATCCTGAAAGAGGCATCGCCAAGTATTTTACTGATCGGCGCGCGGCCGCTACGTCGGCCGCTACGTCGGCGTTTCGTTGTGCACGCGCGCAACTTACTCAGATCAAGATCAGTAGGACCGCATATAAACTAAGCAAACCTGTGACGATCGCGGCGAGACCCGACAACGCGGCAGTTTTGTGAAGACAATTTCCCACCGCTATCCATCTGGAGGTTTCATCACCTAATTTCGACGGCTCGATAACAATTAAACTGCATTCCGACTCCAGCGCTCTCTCTAGCTCGTACTCGAATGTCTCGTGAGCGTTTTCATTGTCGTACACTTCCCTGATGATGGCAACATTCGAGGATTCGTCTCTGCAAGGAGGAGATAGTCAATGTAACGGGTTTCGACACCTTCCCAGCCTGATGTTGAATCTCGCGCGGGAGCCAACTTGGTCCAAGTTCTAGTTTCGAGAAATGCGTGGCCGATCAATCTGCTGCTTTTATGAAGTAGCTGCAAGTTGATTGACTACAGATCTCTCGGAACTAGAACTTGGGCCAAGTTCTAGCATCGTGGGTACAGGCCTTAATTCCCATCGGCGCGGCAAGGTAGTGTCTACAGGTGCAGAATCTATTCCGCGCGAAAAGGACTGAATTCCTCTCGCGTACGCTCCGGTCTACGAGTCGTTAGAAGACAGAACTGCGTGCCGGTCCTTTTTCTCTCGCCCGGCAAGAACAGGATTGACCTCCGACTAACGACTAATCGTGGACCGGGCCTGACGGACAACGCGAGAGACCCCGATCTCCCCGAGGGCTCTCTTTCCCCGTGTGTTATGTAAGACATTGATTACACTCGCTCGGCGCGGGGGATTTGTTTTGGTCGCGTACCTGGGCGTCCGCCGGGCGAGATCGAGGCCGGGGCGTGTGCCGCGCGCGCCGACGTCGCTCGGTAACGACCGGGCGTCGCGGCGACGTGGGGGAGACGCGGGTGCGCGCGAGGAAATTCGAGGGAGAGCGGAGCGAGAGTGACAGCGGCCGGACGCGGGCGGAGCCGCGGCGGCCGAGAGCCTCGTCGCGGGTCCGCGGGTCTCGCGCCGCCCGGTGGGACCCGCGGGGCCGCGCGGGGCCCCGGACGTGGACGTGGACGTCCGGGGCCCCGCGCGACACCGCGGCGGCTTTGAGGTTAATTCCGCCGCAATGGCGACGGGACGGCGACTCGCGGCGCCGAGGGACGCGCGCTCCGGCGACGCTGCTGTCCGCGCGAGCGGCGCCCCGGCGCCGCGGACGACGCCCGCGACTGGCCGAACCCGTCTACGAACCTGTCACCAGCTTCATCTACCATCTTCACCGTCGATCCCGCGGATACTGAAACGGCGGTCTGCATTGGACCGGAAGAAAAAGCATGACTCGCCGAACCGGACGCAAAAATCAGCTGATGGAGAGAGCGCCGCGGGCGCGCGCGGACGTTTCTCGCGTGACTCGAGTGGTTGGAGGCCGGCGATTTTCGATCTCTCTGTCGGACCCGGCGGTAGAGCGTTTCCGGTTTCTGGTGGAGCTCGGACGGGCGCAACGACGTCTCTCTCTCTCTCTCTCGCGATTTTCGCGCTGAATCGCGGGGGAGGAATCTCGAACGAGCGGCTATTACGAGGAAGCACAATAGCCGCCGAGGTATTGGTAGCAGCGCGCGACCGCTGGTTTGTAGTAATTGACGCGTTAGCCGCGCGATTGGGACCGCGGCGGGGAAATTGGTCGGTCGGCCGCGCCGCCATTACGACCGCCTCTTCGCTCCGCGTCGCTCGCGATGTAGATTACGTCCTGGTCGCACGATATGTCGGCGCGATTTTGGGAGGCGATGTAAATCTAGTATTCTCAGTATCGGCCCAGCACTGTAGACCAGCGTGAGAAATGATTCGTCGATCGACGTCGAAGCGACGTCGTCAATTTAACGGCGTCGACTCGATGTCGACACCGATCGACGAATCTTTTCTCACTGGGAAGGTCCCTAGTAGCGCAGTGCATTGAACAAACGTCGGTTAAACATTGGCCCAGTATTTGGTCGCGTCGGGCCAACGTTTAGCCAACGCACTGCGCTACTGGGTTTGCCGTCTTCCAGGTAGCCAGCTGACGTTACTTGTCGTCAGTTTGACGGCGAAACGCCGTCAGGAGTGTCACTTTAACGTGAAAATGACGACAAGTGACGTCAGCTGGCTACCTGGGCTCTTATTTGGCCAATATGTCCCGGTAATATTGGCTTCTGACTAGTCTCGGCGATATAATATTGCATCAATATTGACCACTGGCCTATTCAAAGTCTAGAAGACATCTTTGAGGCGTCTTTTAACAATGCCAACATTGCAAATTTCAAATATATACCAATTCTTTTCCACTAGACTGCTGACTCGAGAGTTTTAAGTATGAAAATATTCTGCTACGCGGTGTGCAACTTATCCTGGCATTATTTTGTGGATAAAAGCTAACAAAAAGAATCAAAAGCCCAAAACCTGTATTCGAATGTGTCGATAAAACAGATTACTTTAGGAGTCCAAGTTCTAGTTCCAAGAAATGCGTAGCCAATCAACTTGCAGCCTTTCCATAAAAGATACAGGTTGATTGTTTGCGCATTTCTCGGAGCTAGAACCTGGACGCAGTTCTCGAATCGTGGACACAAGGCTTTAA